GTCTTGAAGTTTGCAATGACGCTTTTGACAGCTATTGTGCTGCGACTAATATTGCTAGGCACAAAACTACTGTAGGAACTCCCCATCAAAATGGTTTGACTGAAAGGTTTAATCGAACTATTCTGGAAATGGTTAGATACATGTTGGTTAGTGGAATATTGAAGAAGGTGTTTTTGGCATAAATTATTGTGACTGCAACATACCTGATAAATAGGCGTTCCTCGACTACCTTGGGAATGAAGACACCTAAAGAAGTCTGGTCGGTACATCTCTCTAATCTCAACAGACTTAGAGTATTTGGGTGCATAGATATGCTCACATTAGGAAAAATAAGGTCGAACCTAGAGCTCTGAAATGTATGTTCATGGGATACCCTGAAGGAGTCAAAGCTTATCGGTTGTGGTGCCTAGAGCTAGGTTACAAGAGGTGTATCATAAGTCAAAATATAGTTTGCAATAAAGTAGAAGTGACGTTCAAAAAAACTGATGACATTAGTCAAAGTACCAAGATCTTTGGAGAAGAGATGGAACAGGAAGAGGTTCCTATTGAGGTGGTGTTGCACCCTAAAATTTGTCTGTCCCTTTTTCTAACTCTTACTGGTTTTTGTTTCACATTCATCTGCATCTTATTTAGTTCATACTTTGTAATCATACTTTGCATTGGCCTTCAGGGACATGGGATCAAAGGATTTTCTTGTTATTGGTGTTTGCCTTATCCCAAGGATTTCTCAAGAGTATTAAGCGCTGTGGATTAGGGATTTATTTCATTTTTAACATCTCAAGCTATTATCTTCATCATTGTATATCTCAGGGAGAATTGAGGTTTCTGATTCGTGGTTGAGCTGGTGGACTTTTATTAGTTGAGGTGCACTGGATTAGGGTTTTCATGCCAAGGACCTTTAGCTGGTCATGTTTCTTTCTGAACTGCACACCTTATCTTCATCTTCAAGGTCTACTTATAGAATTGTTCTTGTGTTGATATCATTGGCCATGAAGGTAAGGTATTTGTGTGGACTGGGTTGCAAAGCATTGGGTTATGTTGCAAAACATCAAGTCGCGAATTCGTATTGTGCTCCAAGCATTAATGTTCTTCAAAGTGTCCATTGCTTATACAAGACACTTGTAGTTGGAATGTTCGAGTGGGGATTTTCATTAGGAATGCAAGGTGGTTTTCATGGAGAATAGAGGATTTTGGTGGAGTTTTCACCCAAGTGGTAAGTTGAGGTTTGTGTGCTTGATGGTTCAAAAAGATTGATTCGAAATTCTTAAGCAGTTGGTTTGTCAGGAATTGATTCAAAGGTTAGAGGATATATGTATGTGGATTAATTGAAATTCAAGATACAAAGCCATCATAAACCATTTTGATTTTCATTTTAGAATTTAAATCTATTTCCATTCACTTCACAAATAACCAAGTCCATAACTCATTCCATGCAGAAAAAGTTAAATTACAACAGAAAAGAAACACTGCAAGTTGACCCCACCAAATTGCAAAAGAATCAGAACAAGGCAACATGCTCTATTTTCTTGTGCCAATCGAACACAACCCTGCCTTGCAAATTCACTAAAAGCCAAAACCTGCTTCCACTACATACTGCTACCACACCAAATTCTGCAGAAAACCTCGTACGTTGGTCGTGATACACAACATTCCTTCACCTTATGAAGTTGCCCCCACCAATTTGCAAAACGACATAATACGTACTGTCAGCACCACAAAAACCACAACATGAAATCAAGTCAGCCACAAACCTGCAATCTGTTATCACCGTACAAACCATGACCAAAAGCAGCAACACCATACAATAAAGAAAAGGTCTTGAATAACAGGTGGATCATAGTGATACTAAAGTGCATAACCCAGATGAAATCAAAGAAGAAACACAAGGTGTTTGTGAAGATGATGAGACTGATAATGACTACTTGCTGACAAGAGACGGGTCGAGAATAGTCATCAAGCCACCTCAGAGTCTTGGTTATACAGATCTCATTGTATTCACCTTAACTCTGCAAGTGAGGTTATGGGGGAAGAACCTAAAGACTACAAGGAAATTGCGAGGAATCGAAATAAGATTTAATGGCTGAAATCTATGGATGATGAGATAAAATTTCTTCATGATAATAACACTTGGGAGATGATCGAAAAACCTGCAGGGATCAAGTTAGTCAGTTGTAAGTGAACTTTCAAGGTTAAGGAAGGAATCAAATGAGTGATGTCGAAGCATTTTAAGGCAAGGTTGGTTACTAAGGGGTTCACTCATAAAGAGGGTGGCGACTTTAATGATGTGTTTTCACCTGTTGTAAAACATAGATCCATTCTAATGCTGGTTACTATGGTGGTTAAGTTCAACCTAAAACTTGAACAGATGAATGTGAAGACAGCCTTCCTGTATAGTATTCTAGATAAAACAATCCTGATGAGGCAACTTGAAGAGTATGTAGAAAAAGAAAAGGAAGACTATGTGCGCAAGCAGAATAGGTCTTTGTATGGTTTGAAACAATCTCCTCGACAATGGAATATGAGATTCAATAAGTTAATGGCACGCATAAGTTTCACTAGGAACCAGTTCGACCACTGTGTTTACTTCAGATTTTGACCTGGAAATTCACTTGTTATTTTGTTGCTTTATGTGGATGACATCCACATAGCGAGCAACAGTGTCAAAGATGCTATGAAGGTGAAGGTTGAACGTGATAAGGAGTTCGACATGAAGGATTTGGAAGTTGTCTCCAGCATACTTGAGATTGACATCCGGAGAGATATAAAGCAGTTAAGATTATGCTTATCTCAAAAGATATACCTGAAGAAGATTCTCGACAAATTTGGTATGTGAAATTCAAAGCTTGTTCTAACACCGACTAATCCTCAGTACAAGATGAGTATGACTAAAAGTCCTAGTACTGAAGTCGAAAGAGCCTATATGAATAACATTCCATATGCTAGTATAGTAGGTTCTTTGATGTATGTTATGGTTTGTACGGGGCCAGACATAACGTACAGAGTGAGCCTTGTAAGCAGATATATGTTCAACTTAGGAAGGCGCACTGGAAATTGTTAAAATGAATTCTAAGATACATAATTGAGTGTCTGAGCAAAGTCTTGATTTATGGTGGAGTATGTGGTGATGATAGAAAAGTCAAAATTGAAGGATTTGTCGACTCTGGGTGTTTGGATTATAGAAAATTTATTTCTAGATATGTTCTCACTATGATTGGCACGACAATCAGTTGGAAAACAACACTTCAGAAGGTTGTTGTCTTATCAACCACTAAAGCGATATATATTGCCCTCACTGAAACTATGAAAGAAGCATTGTGACTTGAAGGTTTTTCTAAGGAGCTGGAATTTTAAGGTGAGTTATCACTATTAAATTTGATAGTCAAAGCGTAATACATCGGTCGAAGAATTTAACCTATCATGATTGAAGCAAACACATCGATGTGAGACTTTGTCAGAGAGATAATCGAGTGTGGAGAAGTCCAAGTGTTGAAGGTTTTGACTGATGACTATGTTGCTGATATGATCACCAAGACACTGCCAAGTAGCAAGTTTTTTTCCATTGTATGCAGTTGATAAAGTTGCATGATGAAAGTTAGTTTGTTCCCTTGTTAGTGTAGAGTTTGTTCCAAGGTGGAGATTTGTGGCATTTTGGATTAAACCCTAGTCTCGACAGAGATAATTTTATGGTTCGACAAAGGTTTAGCATGTAGCCGAAGTTTGTTCACATGTTGATCCAGTATGCTGTAGTCGAAGTATGCTCAAGCATGCAGTCGAAATACTAGGATTATTAGCATGTCGAATTGGGTCTTACTTATAAGCTCAATTGTTAAGTTAGTTTGTAACTTAAGTTAACTTAGTAGTGTATAAATAGACTAGTTCTCTCAGGTTGTTGAGAGAGGTTAATTGTTGTTATTTACTTGTAATCTTTGAACCTTTATTGAGTAAGTGAATAGTAAAACAGTTTTAACAAATTTCAATTCTTCTTCTTCCTTTTTCTCTTTCTTTTTAAAAGTTAATAGTTTTTTGTGTTTATTTAAGAAACTCAATTTTTTTTTTCATATTTTAGTTTGTTCTTGACGACATCGATTCACAACATTTTCCTAGTAATATGCGAGCGGTTGAGACCATGAGGTGGGGGGAGGGGGGGTGTTAAGAACCTTAGGCTCAAAGAGGCCTCTATAAATATCTCTCCCCTCAAAGATGGTGGACATACTCTAAGTTATACACACTCTCCATAATTCAAAGAGCAACACGCTCATTATCATCTTAACATACACGATCAACCTAATCACCTGTCTGCAATCATAGCAGTGCCAACCACCAACAGGGATTCTCACCTCACGTGAGTTGGTTCTTTAAATAGCCTCAAACACCACCATGTAGAACTTCTCGCCTCTATGAGCATACTCTCACCATCAAAACATGTTATATGCTTACTAATGACTCTGAGTCTTCCTGTCCTTGAAGGAAGAATTGAAGGAAGAACACGCATGTAACTTTTAATTAAAAAAATTTTTAAGTCCAAATTTTCAAAATGATGTTTTGTGTGATAAAGAATGAGAGAATGTATTTTTACACCGTTTTTATTCTATTGTGTGTTCGGTGTGTTAGAGATGGTGATATATTTTGTTTAAGATACTATTTAATGTTGCTATCTTGTTTATGTCAGTGGAGGTATCAAACAACACACGTTTTAGTGCAATATTTAAGTGGAAATTATTAGAGTGCTAATGTATTAGGTGGAAAATTTTGATCTTGGTGCATGCATCTTTGTTTATTTAAAGGTATTTTTATAGAAAAAGAATAAAAGTGAAAGAAGACAATAATGAAAGAAAGACTTTGTATAACTTTTGTAATTAAAAAAACTCAACTTAATGTAATTAAATATTGATAATGCAAATACAAATAGTAATTTCATATATCTTATACAAACTCAAACATTTTCAGCTTAGACCTGACTTTGAAACATTGAGTTTTTTGTGATCAAGTGAGTGAAATCAATGGGAATTCCTTCAGAACTGAGGGACATGTGGGTGGCCAATAAAACAAGAAGTTTGTTGATTGCTTCTCCTGCAGAAGAACAGAAGATGTTAAGGACTAATCAATGTACATCTGGTAATTATAGTTTTTTCTTTGCAATGGATCTAATCTAACAAGAATGTTCATGAATGAATCTTTGATTTTGTGAGTATATTTTGTGATATGCTGCAGAAGGTGTGCGTGCTGGATTCAAGGCAGCTGGTATAGGATGTGTGGCCAGTACTGTGCCTACAGTAAGTAGTAATAATTTCTTAGATCCTTCAGAATTTTGAAACTTTTCTGTAATATTTTTCTAATGTTACAAAATTCACAGATGGTTGCAGTTCGTATGATTCCATGGGCAAAGGCAAATCTAAATTATACTGCTCAAGCACTTATCATATCTGCAGTATCATGTGCATCATTCTTTGTTGTTGCTGACAAAACTATACTGGCGTGTGCAAGAAAACAGTCCCTTCTGCTAGAAGAGTCTCTCAAACAAGAAAGATGATGCAGTTCAATCAATATCTTGGCTTTCACACATGTGTTTTTATGTTGATAATCAATTTTTAGTGTTGTTTTCTTTATATTTGGTTTCTCAAAAGCTCTTCATTATTCTCTTCTCAGTGAGAGGTTTTTAGTTCTTGAGTAGTTCAGGTGATAATCTGCAAGATTGTTCAGGTGGATTGACTAGGTAATAGAAAGACAGAATTTTATCAGCCAAAGCCTTCAACTATTGCAGGCGGATCTCCGAGTACAGGGAGCCACAAATTTGGTAAACATCGTTTACAATCTAGTGCACTAGTATAATTCACGATTCTTTTTCTAAAATAATTCTTAAGATTGAAAAGAACCTTCAGTAGGCTCCACCAAGAGATAATAGTGTACATGAGGCTGCCTCGTAGGGGGGTCATGTTGTCGTACTAGAGCTTGTTCCTCTAGGTAGAACTACGCCACATAGAGAAATCCTAAAGTCACTAGCTCACGGCTAGTGCCAATGAAGAAAAAAATAATACTCCTCACGAGGTTCACCGTTCTCGTCATTCACTAGCATGTCGTCCCCAAAGAAGGAAAAATATGACTTAGATGATCAAACTCCAAAGCAACAGAAAGAAAATGTTATTTATCTACTTCCTCGATAGTAAGACTCCGAGCTCTTTTTATATGCCTCCAAAGGTGTGGAGCTATGACGAAACCGAAAATCCAAACCAACTTGATGATCATGTAGACAATAGGCTGGATTACTGTCACTCAAGCTCTTCAAACTAACCATTATCAGAGGCGTGATATCGTGGTTAGAGCATATATTCGTGGAAGGATATATGCGACGCCTGTTAGATAACATACAAAAACAAATATTGAAGGTAGTAACAATGGTGGAAAAGAAATTAGAAAAGAAGATGAAATTGAGAGAGAAAGAGAATTAGAGTAGAAAGTATTATTGGATGAATTAAAATTGGCATTAATTGAAATTGAAAATTACAAAATGTATTTATAATCATAAAAAAAACAAAAGCCAACTAAAGTGGCCATGCTGTTAAATTAAAAAAAAAACAGAATTTAACAGCTTTCAACACGCCACCTCACTTTAGTTGCTCCAAGTTCATCATGCTCAAGCTCTTCAACAGTCTCTTGAACATCTCATTTGTCACACCCTTTGTCAACAAATCCGCTACTTGGTCCTCCCTTCGGCAATAGCTCAATCTAAACTTTCCATCACCGACCAATTCTCTCAAGTAATGAAACCGCAAGATTAGCATCTCAATATACTTGCTTCTTCCGTGTGCAATCGGATTCTTCGTAAGATTTATCGCGGAAACATTATCCACAAACAGTGTGGTAACATCATCATAACCACATCTCAATTCTTTTATAAGATTCACAAGCCAAATAGCTTGGCACGCACTCAACGACGCCGCAATGTACTCGGCCTCACAAGAAGAGAGTGCTACAACCGGTTCCTTTTTCGAACACCATGAGATTGGTGTACTACCGAACATAAAGATGTAACCCGCCGTCGATTTTCGATCATCTTTATCTCCACACCAATTAGAATCGGTGTAGCCAAGTAAAGTACATTTACGACCCATATCTGATGCGGGAAAAAGAATTCCGCAACCAAGAGTGCCTTTCACATATCTAAGGATTCTCTTGACCGCTACCAAGTGAGACACCTTAGGTCTCTCCATGAATCTACTCGCAATACCGACACTAAAGCCAAATCCGGACGAGTATTGCACAAATACCGTAACGATCCAATCAAACTCCGGTAAAGTGTTGGATCAACATCATCTTCATCATCACTTTTAGACAGCTGTACTCTAGCCTCATAAGGTGTAATACAAGCATTACAATGCTTCATCTCACACTTTTTCAAGATATCTAGAGCATACCTCCTTTGATGCATAAGCAACCCCACTTTTGACTTGTGAAACTTTATGCCAAGAAAGTAACTCATGACCCCAAGGTCCGTCATCTCAAAATCACTCATGAGCTCCCCTTTGAACCTTAAAATACTTTTGTCATTGCTGCCCGTAATCAAGAGATCATCAACATACAAGCATAGTATAATAACACCATCAATATTATCTGATCTCACATAAACACCATGTTCGGATACACATCGTTTGAAACCGATGTCAACAAGAAAGTCGTCTATACGTTTGTTCCAAGCTCTTGGAGCTTGTTTCAAATCATACAACACCTTGTGTAGCTTGTAATACCTCCTCTCTTGATTTTTAATCACGAAACCGGGTGGCTGCCCCACATAAACTTCCTCATCAAGAGGACCATTCAAAAACGCAGATTTTACATCCATTTGGTAAATCACCCAATTGTTGCTATGCGCAATCCCAACAACCAAACGAATAGTCTCCAATCTAGCCACCGGTGCGAATACCTCCTCATAATCTATACCTTCACGTTGCAAGAACCCTTTCGCCACTAATCAAGCTTTGTGCTTGATTACTTCACCTTTAGAATTTGCTTTAACTTTATAGATCCATCGCACACCTAGCGGTTTCTTTCCGAGTGGTAAATCGACCAACTCCCAAGTACCATTTTTCTCAATAAATTGCAGCTCCTCTTTCATTTCACATATCCATTTAGGATCGCTTAAGGCTTCCTTCTCATTTACTGGTTCAGATTCGGCCATAAGCGCGAAATGAACAAAATCACCATCATTATTCACTTCGTTATCTTGGAACCTCTTTGAGTCTATGAGGCAAGGCTCTTTGCCTCGCTGGTCTACCATTATTCACTACAACATTTTTCGCTACTGTAGGTGCAGGCTCAGCGGCATCGGAACCCTCCGGATCAGACAACTCGAAGAACTGCTGCTGTTCTGCAAGGTGTAACCGATTAGCAGCAATCGGGTAATCGATTACACCTGTTGTTTCAGCAGTTTTTATTTCTTCAAAAAATACATCTCGGGTTATCACGATTTTTCGATTCTTCTCATCAAATAGCTTGTAACCTCCAATAGAGTGATATCCAACAAATATCAACTTCTCACCTTTATCATCCAACTTCTTTCTAAGTTGATTCGGTACATGACGATATGCAATCGATCCAAAAACGCGCAAATGATTCACACTCGGTTTGAAACCACTTCAAACCTCTTCTAGTGTGATCTTCTCCAGCTTCTTAGTAGGACACCTATTCAACAAGTAGGTGGTTGTAGACACGACCTCACCCCACAATTCCTTAGGCAACTTCTTCCCACAAAGCATACTACGCACCATGTTCATTATTGTACGATTTTTCCTCTCGGCAGCTCCGTTTTGTTGAGGCGTATATGGAGGCACCATCTCACGCGCAATACCCTCAAGATCACAAAACTTCCCAAACTCACTAGAGGTATATTCACCTCTACCATCCGTTTTGAGAATTTTGAGCTTCCGACCACTTTGACGCTCCACCATGGATTTGAAACTCTTTAACACTCCAAATACCTCATCCTTCCTCTTGATAAGATATGTCCAAGGCTTCCTACTAAAGTCGTCAATAAATGTAACAAAATATCGATTGTCGCCATAAGTCTCTACTTGCATCGGTCCACAAACATCGAAATACACCACCTCAAGTAAACCTTTGGTTCTTCGACCCGCATCCTTGCTAAACACATTCTTGTGTTGCTTACTCTTCACACATTCCTCACACAATTCTGTCGAAACACTAATATGTGGCAGCCCCCTTACCATTTCACTTTGTTGCAACATTTTGAGATCCCTAAAATTTAGGTGACCAAGATGGTAATGCCATAACCACTCATCTCTACTTGCCACGGTAGCTAAACAACGATGCTCCATAACCTTTAACTCAACCTTAAAAGTTCTATTGGCAGCCATCGACGCTTTTAGAATCAACACACCACTTGAATCTAAAACGCGTAACATCTTGTTCTCCAGAATTAAGTACCCTCTTTCAAGTAATTGGCCAATGCTCAAAAGATTTCACTTAATTCCCGGTATGTACAAGACATCTTTGATCCTTGAATATCCACCATTCTTCCTTCCGATCAAAACATCTCCTACCCCTTCGGCGCTTAAAGTGGTGTCGTCGGCAAACTTGACTTTACTCTTTGCCGCTTGATTGATTTCCATAAACCAATCCTCCCGACCCGCCATATGTGTTGAACAACCGGAATCCAAGTACCATTCATCTTTACTTTGAACTCCATCATGCACGGTAACTAATGCATTTCGATCCTAATGCATTTTCTCACCACTTTCCGAAATAGTACAGCTGATGTCCCGCAAACTATCACCACAGTAGCTACTACTCTGAATATCAACAGTGCCATAATTCTCCTATGTGGTCATCACTAGAAGGGTGTGTTGCACCCTAAAATTTGACCAACCGATTCTCCTATCTGACTCATGGTTTAATTTCATATTCACAGCTCAGACAGATGATTTTTGTGCAAACAGGGGATATCAGAGTTTACAGCTTGATTTTTGTCTATCAGATATGGCAGACCCAGTCCAGATCATCAGGGTTTTATTTTCGGGAAATTGTGCGCTCCTCGGTGATTTTTCAGTGATTTTGAGGATAGTCTGATGCCCGGGGGTCTCTGTTCAATTCGATCTGGTCTCGTGCGCTCTTTTATGGCGGTCATTTGCATTCATCTGCATTTTTAGGGTTTTAATAGGCTTTTGTGAATTTTTTAATAGGCTTTATAGATTTTTCTGGAATTTAAATAGGGTTTTTATAGTATAATTCTCTTTTTAGGATTTTATAAGATTTTTAAATCATTTTAGGAATTTTGTATAGATTTTTAAATAGATTTTAATATTTTTAGATAATATAGAAAATAATATAGTTTTCTTTTATTAATAATAGGTTTAATTGTTTTTAAATCATTTTTAGAATTTTAATAGAAAATTAGATTGATATAGAATTAATTAGACCTTTAATCATTTTTTAGAGTTTAATTAGATTAGTAGAATTTCAGAGTTAATTAGATCTTAATTCTTTTTTTTTTTAGATTTAATTAGGTTGATATAGAAT